GCTCTGTATTATCTGGGAAGTGATCACACACGGCCCTCCCATTTCCAGGTCTCTCCTCATTCTGTCACCTCCTCCAGGAGAAGCAAAGCTCCCACCCGGGAGCGTGTGGTAAGGGGAGTCAGGGATGCCACCACGCCTCGAGGAGAACTTGCCTTGGGGCGTTTGCATGGTTTTTTTCAACTGTACCTGGTAAACCATTTCCAACTGGTAGAAACTCTGAATTGCTGCCAGAAAAGTAAGTTTTCCCAGGCCTGAGAGTGACAAGCACAAAGGCAGAAAAGGGCCTGAGAGAGCCTCACCCATGGGTGTGCCCCACAGGCCCAGGCAGGAAGGAGTGTGTCCAGGATGGGAGGTAATATCTTCTGCCCTGCATCTTACGTCCTGGTGTTCCTGGTAGGGACAATCTTGGCCACAGTGGGGGTGCTGTGATGCCGTGGAGAAATCCCCTCACCTCACCACATCTTCCCTGCCAAAGGATTGTCTTACCAGACTCTAGTTTCAAGCAATAAGATTAAGTTAAAGGTCTTTTGCTGGAAGGGTAAATGGCGGGTAGCTGCAGGACCATTCTTGGAAAGAGGGCCAGAACCGAGGCACTAGCTTCAGGATGGGGTGTGGAATCCACAGGCCTGGTCTTGGGGCCCAGGGGGTCTGTTTGGTTCATGTACCTATGGGTGTCCTTTGAGACTTATTCTAGCCCCTATCTCAGAGTTCCCATGGTGAACACTGGCCGAGAAGAGTGAGGTCCTCCAGTTTCCAGACCCTGGTTCTCCCCTCCCACCAAGGCTGTGTACAGTGGGGCAGAGTGAATTCCCTGAAAGGAGACAGGGAGGTGGATTCCCGACAGTCAGACTTTATAAATGCCCCTCTGACACTGAATCCACCTGCAAAGTCTTTCCTCTGGATGAAGCCTCGCCCTCTGTCTCTGTTGCCCACTTAGGCTGGCAAACTCTCCCTGGCTGGGTAACCCAAGATCCCTGACCTAGTGGTGTGGATTCTAGCTGTGGCCTTGCTCAGGTATGGGGTGGCCACCCCACCCCCAGGAATGACAGTAATACACAGGGCCAGCCAGGGTAAATGGAGACAGGCCCTGATTCTACCCTACAGCTTTGCCAGGCCACCTCAGGAGTCCTGTGGAGGGGTCCCTGTGGTCCTTCATATCACCAAGCCTCGGTGACAGCTGTTCTCTGGCCTCCCACTATGAGGACTATAGAGCCACCGAGTCTGTCTCAACAGAGAGGCTGATGGTCTCTGAAAAGGCAAAAATGCAGCTTGCCTTTATCATAAGCCCAGTGCCTCTCCCTGCTGATAGGTGATTGGGGGCTGCAGGTAGAGAGAGCCACTGTGTGGGGTCAAGAGAGCCAGGGAACAGGGGCCACAGTGAGGGGAACCTGGCGGGAAGCAACTGTATAGATTTCATGGATTTCTCCAGGTCCAAAGATGGATGGTTTTCTGCCAGCCAGGGATTTCCACAAGGATCACTAGAGAGGGTGGCTCAGCGGATAGCGTGATGCCATAGGTGGAACCAGGTGAGTGTCCCCTGGGGACACAGTGTTAGTCAATCTCCTCCCCCCAATTCTCCATGGGACTCTCTGTTGGACCACAGCTGCAGGCAGGCATCTGAGGGGGAAAGTTTGCTTGCCCTGCCCTCCTTCCCCACCCCTCAGTGACACAGGGCTCCCACCATCATCCCTGATCCTCCCTCCCTCCAACCCAGTGGACCGAGACCAGTCTTGGACTAGTTCCAGTCTGGCAGAGGATAAGGAAGAGACACATGGGCTGTGTTGTCTGGACCTAGCCTGTATTCAGAGGTGCCTCGGCATTTTTCTGAGCCTCTCCTGACTCCTTTCCAATATCCAATATCCACAGAAAGGCAGGCACAGAGCTAAGTCTGTCCATCCTCGTGGCAACCATGCACCTCAGAAGAGAGAATCTGTACTTGGGAGGCTGAGGCAGGAGAATCTATGCAAATTCGAGATTACCCTGGGCTACAAAGTGAGCTCAAGGCCAGCTTGAACTGCATAGCAAGACTCTGTCTCAAAAAAGAAAGAGAGAGAGAGAGACAGGCACACACACAGAGAGAGAGAGAGAGAGAGACAGAGAGAGAGAGCATCTGCTTGGTTCAGTTTGCCTTTGTCCAGTATTAATCACCCACTATGGGTAGGGCGCCATGCCAGCCTCTTTGAGAGTTAGCCTCCTGCTTCTCCAGCCACCTACAGATGCTTCATCTACTGTTGTGAATGAACGTGTGAGTGAGTGAGTGAGTGAGCAGGGTTTTCTCCTGGCCTCCTGGTCAGGAGTGAAGAATCACACCTCTGCCTTAGCATGTTTCACGCTCAGCTATCCCAGAGTCCCAGAGTCTGTGTGAAAAGTTCCTCCTCCTGAAGGTGGAAATGTTCACTCTCTGCAGCTCTGTGCACCAGCTCAGCAGCAGAGTAACCTTAGTTGGGTTTTCCCACGTAGTTTTCTAGTAAACCATAAATAAAGCCATTAGAATCTTAAGAGAAGTTTTACAGTGAGTCTCTGGCTCCCATGAGGTGCCTGACTTTTTAATATGATTTTAAGACACACCAGATACAATCCAGCCAGGATGAAGTCACTTTTGTTCTAAACCATAATTGCACCCCTTTGTACCCCAACTGGTCTTGCCGTTGTCCGCTTTCATTGGGAAGTCTCCCCGTAATTTTCACTCTGTGCAGTCCTGTATTTGTCTGCCTCTTTCTTTGATCTCATGGCATTAGAACTGAGTTGTTCTGGCATAAAAAGAGACTTGAATAAAATCTCCAGAAAAAGCAAGATTGAGTCCTATTTCTGTTATTTTCCCTCTGTGTGCCTGGTGCAGTGATTCACAGCCAGAAGAAGACCCAGTGAGTGCCCGCTGGATTGAGCAGAGAGCACTTAGGAGTCACCTGCTATTTGTCAGACACCATGCTTGGTCAAGAAGGAGCAGCACTTACTGAGCCCTTGATATGTGTCAGGAACTGTGTTGGGAGCCGCAGCCCCGAGCCCGGTCGCCTCACTTGGCGGACGTGAGGCCTGTAGTAAAGAGTGAGGCCTGAGGTAGATTACCCCTCCCATCGAATATGTTAGTTTCCTGCTTACCGCGTAAACAACCCGCTCAACAATATAGTCTGCCTGGCAACTGATGATGTTAGCCAATCAGCTTGCCTTGCTTACTTTAACATGATTGGACACTGTACCCGTATATATACCGGTGCCACCCCTGGGCGGAAGAAGAAGCCAGGTAGAAGCCCGGAAGTAGAAGCCCAAAAGGAGCCGCGGAGAGCGGACCGGTAGAGGCTTTGGGGCAGACTGAAGCACAAAAGGAGCCGCGGGGAGCGGACCAGAGGAGGCTTCAGCTGGGAGAACCCAGGGCAGGCTGTACGGAGAAGGAAAATAAAAAGAAAAGGTTGTCCACTACCAGACTTTGTCGTGTGTCCTTCCTGCCGGCCGGGAGCGGACATCGACAGAACTGAACACAGTCACCCCATCTGACAGGCATGATTACTGTCCCCCAGATGAGATGTGAGAGGCACAGACAGGCACATAATGTGCCTCAGTGGTAGATGGGTCCTCACCAGGCAACATGGCTGTGGCGCTGATGCTCTGACCTGTTTTATCAGGCTGATCCTCACTGCTAAGCTTGGCACTGAAACTTCTGGGATTCAAATGACAGCCAATTTAGAAATTATTCTAAATTAATCTGCCCAACAGACATCCACAATGGCCACGTCCCACCCATCTCTGAGGGAGGCAGGACAAGGGAAGGGCTGAGGATGGAGGGAAGATGCCACTTCACACAGGATTTGGAAAATAAAAGGCTGAAAGTTGAATGATTGTGTTGTCAGCCTTGGGAAAGACACCATGTACCCATCTCCTGAGAAACTTGGCAGCTGTAATTCTCCAAAATAGTTATGAAAAAACAAAGCTGCGTACATTTTGGACTTTGGCACCAGGGCTTCCAAACCATGAAATAAACATGTCACAGCCCTGCCCATACCCTATGAAGTCCATGCAGGACACCAGCCCACGCACACTGGGATGTCATGGAGCATCCTAAGGAAGCTGGGCCCTACTCTGTGAGCCTGTTTTGGCCTCTGCAAGGACACTTGTCCCCTGCATGGGCAAGCCTGCCCACTTCCCTCCACAGCCAAACAGGAGCTGGGGAACCTCCACAGGACACTTCCAGGTTCCCTCAGCCACTGGGACAGACTGCCACAGTTGGAGAGTTGTTCCAAATACCATTGAAATACGAGTATTTCCCACACTTGAGACCAGAGAAAATGACAGCGGTCATTTGATTTCTCTAAGTGATTCTACAGAACTGTTTCAATAGGTTGCAACCTCATATATTTGTTAAAAGTATGGCTTCCCCGGGGCGGATCTGAGATATAATAAAGCAGAAGGGGGGCAGGAATGTGCCTTGCACAGTGAACCAGCTATACCATCGGGATGGTGGTTCAGATGAGTGAGGCACATGGTCTCTCCCTTCCTCTCTGAAAGGAGCATGTGCCAGTCCCCTGAACACGACCAAATTGGCCTTGTTTCCTGAGCACACCAGCTCTTCCCCATTTCCGCAAGCTGAGCTCTAGCAGGAATGCAGTTCCTGGGGGTCCCTGCAAATCGCTCTTCATCAAGACTCTCTGTGTGTGTCTCAGACCTGGCTACTGTTTAGAGGACTTCTATTCCATGATTAGGCCTCTTCAGTAGCCCCCAGGCTATGTTTCTTTCATTACTAAGAACCCCGCACCCAACTGTGTAGGCAGTAAGTGTACCACAAATGAGTACTGCATGCAGATTGTGACATGAAACTGGTAGTGACCACCAGTTCACTATTTCTATAGAGTGACAGAGGAAATTCCTGGCACAGTTCACAGAGAGCCAAGGCCAGGAACAACTGCAGGACACCTTGCATCTGGACTCCACTCCTGTTGTCCTCCCTCATCCCAGATCCTCCATAACCAAGTCCCAGATTCCCACACACCAAGAGACACCTGGAGGCAAACAGTCTGGATGTATTTATTTCCATTCACGTATTTCATAGAAAAAGATGTAATAAATGGGTCAGGGTATATGAAAAAATGCAGGTTTTTACAGCCATTCTATGTACATGTGGAGCAGGGTCTCTGGAATCAGGCACAGCAGCTGCACTTGTCCAATGATGCCCCTTTGCAGACGCAGCCCTGGGCACACTTGGCACAGCCCACAGGGCAGCAGGAGCAGCAGCCTGGCAAGGAAGAAAGGAGACAGTTCAAACAGGCTCACCCCAACAGCAGGCTTGGTTGCCCTGTCTCTAACCTCAGAGCAACCTCAGTTCAGGAGCAGCTTCTGTCAGGAGAAGCTGGTGGATCTTCGGAGCGATTGACACTTCCTATGAAGGCTGCTCAGCTCCCCCTGAGCCCAGGACAGGGCAGCAGGGCTGGAGAAGCCAGCCCACCCCCAATTCCACCAAGGGAGAAAATCCAAGTTGAGGTGGGACAAACTAACAGAGCAGGTGTGGTGGGAACCAGGGAAGCTCTGGCGGTGCTTTGAAAGGAAAAGGTTGACCTAGCAAGTTAGAAACCACACATAGTCACCAAATCATGTGCATTAAGTGCTTCAGGACTCAAGTGTACTGAGAAGCAGGAGACCCAACTAGACCTGGAAGATTGCAAATTTGAACCTAGCCCAGGCAATTAAACAAGGCCCTGTTCTCAGAGTTAAACATTTTCAAAAAGCCAGGCAGTAAAGCTCAATGCAAAGGCCCTAGGTTCCATCTCCAGTCCCGGAGGATGTGGGACAGCAGGCCGAGGTTCAAGCTCAGGCTTGGACTCTGGTGGAAGTTGGCCTCTCTGAGCATCTATAATGAGAGAGCTTCCTCACCTCTGTGGGTCTCTGAACTTCAATCCTGAAGGAAGGGATGGGGATTGGGACACTGGCCTGCTCCTCCCTGCTGTCCCTGTGGCTCCACCTCTGCCCAGCCCCACATTCCCAGGAAAGCCACACTTACTCTTCTTGCAGGAGGTGCATTTGCACTGTTTGCACGTGCAGGAGCTGGCACAGCTGCAGGAGCCACCTGTGAAAAGAAAGGCAGTGATCAAGGGGTAAGATGCAAGGGACACAGTGGTGACTTGTTAACTATCCACAGCCCCTCCTGCGAGCCACTCGACTGGAAAGTTCCTTCCTCGCTTGGAAGGAGGGAAGGCGTACATCTGTCCTCTCATCTCAAAAGGTCAAATTCCTCCTTGTCTTGACCCACTCAGGATGGTAAGAAACTCCAGACTCAGCCCAGGATGACTGGGACTGAAGACCAGGGCGGTATGTCCTAAATTCCAAAGAGACAATTCCTTCCACCCACCCTGACTTCTTTGAGGTCTGCCCTGGGGCCCAGCCAGCAGCCTTCTGGCCAGCTGTGCCACACCAGGCAGGCCAGCACTGAGCCCAAACTTTGACACAGAGCACCGGGGAGACAAATGCAGCCAGAAAGAAAACACCGGACAAAGTGAGCTCATGTAGCTCAGGACTCAAATGCAACCTCTTCAAACCCAGGGCTCCGCTTTCCTGGCGCTGGGAATTGGTTACACAAAGGTCCAGAGCCAGGCATCTCTTACCAGTAGTGCAGGAGCAGTTGGGGTCCATACTGAGCCGAGTTGAGACCGGAGGTCGGAGGCAGCAGATGAAGCGGCAGATTATGGTCTGGAAGTCGTGTGGTGCCTTCAGCCCGCCCGCTAGTTTTATAGCCAGGGAACCGGGCCGGGCGCAAAGGTCCCGCCTCAGCCTGTGCACCCGCCCCGGGGCTCGCACTCTGAGCACGGCCCGCTGCTCAGGGCAGGGCTGAGCGCACAGTGCGCGCCGGGCGCAGAGCCCTTTGCGCGCTGCGGTTGAGCAACCGGGCGCCGCCCCTTTGGTGCCGGCCGCCGCGCGGGGGATCGTGCGCTCGCCCAGCCTCGGGGTCCCGCCGGCCCTCGCCGGTTCCCGTAAATTTGCTGGTCACTCTGATTTAGGGGAATGAAACTCCCGACCTACTGTATGTCCGGTACGAGCTCCTGTTCTCTAAAATCGAAGGGTGAATTTTAGGAACAACGGAGGTTAAGAGTGGAATATATTTATTGAGAAAAACAAAGAGGTCCGGAGTGGGTTGCCAAAGACTGTCTTTTATAGAGTAAAATCATGAGGTGAGACGGGTCCAAGGAGGGGGGAAATGGGGACTCGCAAAGTGAGCAGAGGGTGAGACGGAACTGTGGTCAGCGCATAAGATTAATTGCTCAGGTCAAGTTGATTAAATCAGGAACAAATCGGGCAGCGAGTTGCGTAGTAAGTGGCGTGCTTTGGAGCAGTGACCCTGTAGGAATTGGGATGCTGACTCCTGACTTCCTCAGGGTGACACAGAACTATTTGGACTGTGGATCCTTAGAATGTGACTGTATGTGCTTTGCTTTTTGTCTTGAGAGCTGGCCCACAGCAGGAGGTGTTTGTCTCTTCCATGGCTGCAAGGTATCTGAACTTCTGCACTGGCTTCTCTGGGGGCTCAGTCCTGTCTCACTGCCTGTATTTCTAACTCAGCTGCCTGTAACAGCTCTGAACCCTGAGCATTCCCGGAACCCAGTCCCAGCGCCCTTCTACCCCCGGCCTGGCACCATGGGTGTCATATAGCCTGGCTGGAAGCTCGAGTGCAGTGACGTGCCCACAGTCCCGCCTCACCACTATCGGTGAGCAATGAGCAGGTCGTGTGCAGAGTACCCACCATCCAAGTCACCTTTGCCTGGATGTCCCTAACTTAACCTCCTGAGTCCCGATGTTTTTGTGTACACTGTAGCAAATGCATATAGGTCTTCCCTTACCTCACCCTTCTATTCTCCCGGGCTGAATCGACCTGTGGGCACAGCCATAGGGTCATCCCTGGGGCTCCCGGAGCCTAGCCAGGCCAACCCACTTCAGGATGACAGTTGTGAAAATAGAAGATGCCCCCAAAAGGGAACGTGTCAGATGATACGCAGATCCTGCATTAAATAAAAAAGTAAGACAAACAGGCATTTCTCCACTGATACCCTCCATGCCCCACACTGAGGATTGAAACCAGGGCCTTTGTTCTAAGCTTCAGCCCCAGTCTATTTATTTATTGGTACCAGGGATCAAACTCAGGAACTTGGTCTTTCCAGGCAGGTACTTGAGCCACTGGCCCTATTTTTCATTATCATTTTGAAATGAGTCTTACTAAACCACCAAGTTGCCCTCCTTTTCTGTATCTTTCTCTCTCCCTCTTGCTCCCTTTTGCTCTCTGTTATGGATTAAGAACTAGTGGTCAGCTTAATGCCAGCTGGATTATATCAGCATGGAGCTGAGCATAGATGTTCCACTTGAGGAAAGTTGCCAGCATAAATAGAGACGTGGAGAAAGAGAAGCTACTGCCTTGAGGTGTTGAGGCATTGTGGGTTCTCCTATGAATTGCTGTTTGAGGCACTGGTTCTCCTAGAAAAACTCTGGTCCTCACATTGAGCATTGCTTCCTGGCTCCGGAGGGGAAGACGTGTACCACTTGGTCTCCAGGATGAACTCACCATGTTAGCTTCCTGGCATGTACTCGACTATACTTGTCAGAGGAGCTCGGGGTCTCTGTCACTGAGGATGGCTATGGTGCTTTTCAGGACAGCCCTTGTCTTTTTTGTGAATGTGATTTCTCGGCTCCAGCGTGGAACCCTCAACCTAACAGCACAGCTCCTTCACCCTCCTGGCATAGACTTCCTGGCTTCCACCACTGACCTTTGGGCCTTCCCAGCATGGATTTGTAAGAGAGACTGTTATGAGTCCTTGTGGACTTTAGACCTCCAATTGGACTCCTGGGAGGCATTGTCATGAGCTCTGGGTCTTCATCTGGACTCATGTGGGACATTGCTATGGGATTCAGGCCCTTGGCTAGATATCCTATGTCTTTAGTGCTGTGGATAGATTTCCTGTATTTTCTTGTGTTAACTCTGGGTGACCATTATAAAAATAATATTATAAACTCCATGTCCTGATTGTAATTGTTCTCTGCACAACTCCTGACTACAACACCGTCTCACTAATTTGACCATACTGGGCTTGCACTCATCATCCCACCTTGGCCTCTACAGTAGCTGGGATCCCAGCCCTGTGTTCCACACTCTGCTCTCCTTCAATATTTTTTTTTTATTGGTATGGGGGATTGAACTCACGACCATGCGCTTGCAAGGCAGGTGCTTATGCCGCTGAGCTGACAGCAATCCTCCTACCTCAGCCTCCTAAATGCTGGGATTACAGGAGTATGTCACACTCAGCCTAGAAATCTTTAAAAGCAAACCCAGGGTCGGTTATGGGAGACATAAAACATATATATGTATTTCATGACTACTTTCTATGTCCAGAAATGAGACTGATTTTCGTTTTCAGTTGTGGTAACAAGTATCTGTGTAAATACACAGATGGAGAGGTTTTACCATCCAGTGACACCATGTTCTGCCACTCCTGGCCAGGGCACAAGGACAGCTGTAGCAGAAATTCATTCACCTTTCCTTCTGACCTGTATGATCTTGGCTTTTTGCTTTGTTACATTCTTTGTCTCACTGATTTGTCAGTGTGTGCCTTAGGGATGTCCTTGTACAAGTCATGGCCAACAGTTCCTTTTGGGGACGTCTGGGTCAGTGCTGTTCAAGGTGTGTGGCCCACTTCAGTGCAGTTTCCAGTCTCCACTGATGATGTCCGTGACCATAGTGGCACACATCTTTAGTTTCCCTATTTCTTCATATCTTTATTGAAGTTTTTGTTGAATCTAAGAGATGCATTTCATGTATTGTTCTTTCAGTTCATTATCCACAATTAACCTTATTTCATTTACTAAACCTTAGGTCTGAGATGGATTTCATTTACTAAATCTTAGGTCTGTGCAGCTGGAGAAGCCCCAAGGATTCAAGCAATGGGAAGTGTATTTGGATCCTGTAGTCACTTTGCCCCCTAACCTCCAATGAGGTACACAAGTTAGGAAATAAGGGATTAAGGAGTTTCTGTGTCATCAACACTTCAGCTGAGGAACAAGGGACCATTTAACTGCTCCCACCCACCACCCCCAGCAGGATCTGGCATGCTGCTCTTTCCTTTTATAGAAAATGGAGCTCAGTGAGGAGACCTAACTCTACCTCAGGGGCTTGCCTGTAGACACTGTTTCTTAGAGACCGATTTAATTTCCAAACCCAGATCTCTGCACTCCCAATTCAAACCCTTATCACAGTTCTTTATTTACCCAGACACTTAAAGGAAGACAAAGTCAAAATAAAGTTACTGAATTTATTATTCACATACTATAGAAAAAGAATCTTGGCAAATGGGTCAGGGTTATGTGAAAAAACTGTGGGTTTGTAGTATCACTTCGTGTACACGTGGAAGCAGGGTCTCCCACATCAGGCACAGCAGCTGCACTTGTCCGATGGCTCTTTGCAGACACAGCCCTGGGCACACTTGGCACAGCTCACTGGGCAGCAAGAGCAGCAGCCTGAGGAAGAAAAAGGACAATGAAAAGAGCACATTTACCAAGCACCCACCCAGCAGCAGGCCTGGCACTAGACCTGCCCCGTCCCACTCCACAGGGCCCTACATTAGGGTAGCAGGGCTCTGTTGTGAGACAATAGTGTGTACTTCTAAGGCTTTTGTCCTCATAGGGAAAAAAAAAAAAAAAAAAAAAAAAGCTCACTGCCCCACCTGAGCTCAAGTCACATTTTGAGCTCAGGGCAGTACAGAAAACCCGGAGAGGGAGTGGAATGGCCCCGGGGGCAAAAGAGGGCCAGTTACACAGAGGACGGTTCTCAGATCCAGCTCTCCTTCCCTCCCACCTCAGCGCAGCCCCAGATGTCCCCATGCTCACTCTTCTTGCAGGAGGGGCATTTGCAGTTTGAGCATTTGCAGGAGCGGGTGCAGGTGCAGGAGCCATCTGTGAAGAAGACAAGGACAGGCGCTGAGCCTAGGGTGTGATGCGGAAGACACAGCAGCGGACCCCCAGCAACCTGCACTCATCCATTGCCTGCCCAGCCCTGGCAGCGTCTGTGCCACAGAAGATGGATGGAAGGGTCCCTTCTCCTCCTGCTGATGTTTTCACAGGGAGGGAAGGCGCCAGGTCCAGACCCAGTCCCGGTTAGTGGTAATGAGCAAGACAGGCTGAAGTCTCTTTCACCCTCCTTGAAATGGGACCCGCGGGCATGGAAAACGGGAAGCCCAAGAAAAAGGAAAGTAAAAGTAAGGAGTCCCCCTAAACCGCGTTGAAAACGTACCATCCTCCAAAGAGACCTCTAGCTAAGAAACGGTGATACCAAGACCCAGACAGCGCACCCTTACCAGTGGCGCAGGAGCAGTTGGGGTCCATTTCGAATCGAAGAGAGTCGAGGTTGAAACTCTGGTGCAAAGAGGCAGAAGAGCTGCTGGAAAGGCGTGATGGTGCCTCGGAACTGCCCGCTCACTTTATAGTCAGAGCACTGGCCCGGGCGCAAAGGCGCCCGGCACCCTTGCACCTTCCGCGCTGAGTCAGCGCCGCCTGCAGCCCTCGGCGGGGCTGAGCGCACCCTGCGGGCCGAGAGCACGATTCCCGCGCACGGCTCGGTGCGCACCGCCGGGTGGCCTCGGGGTGGCCTCCGCCCACGCGGGAGGGGCCGTGCTCCCGGCACCACGGTGCGTCCCTGCTGACCCTTTTCAATTTCCTCGAGCTGGCCAGTAGCCCCCGCTCCCGACCATTCCGGGAACCCAGTTCAAACTGTCACCAGTCCCTGGGCTCCAGTCCTTTACTTCAGTTTCGCCTTTCCCAGAGCTGGCGCGCAACCCAGCCAGGTGCCCATGTGTGCAGGTGCTTTCATACCTGCGCCAGCGGGATAATGGAGCAAGGGAAATGAGTGCAGAGAACTGACCACGAATGTGACCCCTTCTTCTACATCCCCCCCGCCCCGTATTGCCTGTCCCTGTCTCCACTTAGGTCCTTTGGCCACGTACTGCCTGTACACAACAGCACGGAGACAGACACAGGTTGTGCCTCCTCGCATTCTGCTCTCTGCTACGGCAGGTGCGCGGGCACCTGGGTCTGGTGGCTCAGTTGCTCAGATTCCCTAAGCCTAGCTGCCTACTCCCCACGTGCTCAGGGTGTCTCAAGGCATGGGAAAGCCTCGAAGAGGGGTTTATTTTAGGTGATTGGCAGACTCTCAGTTAAAAGAAAAGTAAGCAATGCTTATTTCTTCTATTTGTCTATCTGGATTTTAAATTTTACTTATTCTTCCAGTATTGAACACAAGGTTACTCTATCACTGAGTTACGATCCCAGTCCCTTTTATTTTGAGAACGGGCCTTGCTAATTTGCCCAAGCTGGCCCTAGATTTACAACCCTTCTGCCTCCACTTCCTGAGTATCTGGGATTTCCTGAATAAGTCTCCATATCTTCCCTTTCACTATTTCTGGTGATTACAGAGTGTTCAGTTCTGTCAGGCCTTGTCAAATTACTTTGGATCTTGGAACTCTCACAAAATTGGGTAAATATTGCTTATAAAATTATTTTACTTAGAAGACTTCTGCAATGCAGGGAGTGTAATTGGCTAGCCTAGGAGCCCACTATTAGAGCTTGGGGTCATTGGATCTGAATCCATTTAAACTCACAAAGACATGAGCTCAAGGCTAAAGCTTCCACTTGGCCTAGACATGTCTTCCACACATCTTAACTGAAATCTTTAAGACAAGATCAATTGCCTGTATATCTGGAAATGAGGTTGATTCTTATTTTCTTTTTTTTTTCTTTCTTTCTTTCTTTTTTTTTTTTTTTTTTTTTTTTTGTGGCGATGGGGAATCAAACTCAGGGCCTTGTGCATACAAGACAAGAACTCTACCACTGAGCCACATTCCCCAGCCCATGCAGTCTGAGAAATTTAGCAAGACCCTATCTATGGCAGACTGATCAGACAAGCCCACAACCTCCCAAATGAGTGAATGGTGAAAGCTTAACTAAAAGGGATAAGTGTATCATTTTAGAGCTCCAGGAGGTTCAAAACCCTGTCTCAAAGAGACAACAACAACAACAAAGTAGATTTCAGGGGCTGGGGATTTAGCTCAGCAGCGCAAGTACTTGCTTGCAAAGTGTGAAGTTATGAGTTTGATCCTCAGTTTAAAAAAAAAAATAGTGGCTTTCAGCTTGATTTCCAAAGATCCTAAGCCAAATCACAAAACAGAGCTTCTTTTTAAAATTTTTTTTGTTATTTTAAGGAGGACAAAACAAAACAGAATAAAATAAATCAGAAGAGAACAATGCAAGTGATGGAGGGCTTCAAAACAAGGTAACAGGAAATCAGTAATGGCTACCATAATGTCTCTTGTTTTCTTCAAAATAGCTTCCATACCCCCACACACAATAAAATCAAGCAAAAAAAAAAAAAAAAAAAAAAACAGAAGAAAACCAATCAAAAGGAAAGAATGAAAGCATTATAGGACTTCAACACATGACAACAGGAAATCAACAATGGCCACCATAATCAGCAAGTATTCTGTCACTTCCCCTGTGCAAGCCAGGATTGATAGTTCTTTGTGGGGTATCTAAGCCAGTGTTGTACAGACTCTTTCAATCTGCAGTGCACATCCTTGAATAAATGTTTTGTCTGCATTTCTTATATTTTTCCTGGTTTTTTTTCTCTTCATATATTTATTGAGATTTGCCTGCTGGATATAATAACTGAATTTGGTGGCTTCCCATTTTATGTTATCAAAGCCTATATATATGGTAGATTCCAGTGCTCTCACATTTTTAGCTGAGACAGGAGCTGTGACAGATAACTTGATGTACCCTAAGGCACTCAGTGTGTAAACTCATAGGACATGGGTTACCAATGCAGTTCCTCACACCTATGTCTGCTGGACAAGCCACACAAAGAAAACCAGAGTCAGATCAAGTTAACGTTTTTTTATTAGCCCGTGTTTCATAGAAAAAGAGATATAGCAAATGGCCAGGGATATGAAAAAACCCTAATTTGTACACATCACTCACTGTACCTGGGGAAGCAGACTCTCCCACATCAGGCACAGCAGCAGCATTGGCCTGATGCCCCTTTGCAGACATAGCCCTGGGCATACTTGGCACAGCCTACGGGGCAGCAAGAGCAGCAGCTTGGGGAAGGAAGGAAGAAAGGAGACAGAGAGAGGTTACAGCAGATTTATCCCAATGACAGGCCTGCCTCAAGCTATGTTCCTAGCCCTGGGAGAAGCTCAGCCCCAAAACTACACACATGAGGAATATCTCAAGGATGTGGTCTGCGCTCGTCTGCCTGATGCACTCTCTGAGCCTCAGTTTCCTTATCTTAGACTAAAATCTGGAAATCGGCCATCTGGAAACCACCTCTGCCCAAGCCCACATTCCAAGGGAAGACACACTCAGGCTTCTTTCAGGAGCCGCCCAGGTGCAGGAATCACCTGTGAAGAGGAGAAAGGCAGGCATCGAGTGCACAAGGTAACAAACGGGACACAGCAGGGTCTCAACAAATACACCCAGCTCAGTTCCAGTCCAGACCTGCTGGCTCTGTCCTACTGAAGACGCAAGGAAGTCTAATGCTATTTCTCACAGACTAGCATAAGCCTTAGGTCCTTGGTCTAGAAAGAACAAAGTTCCTTGCCTATGCGGTGCAGGCACCCAAACGCTGGACTGAGCACTGGTCTTTAGTGGAGCAGCCTTAGTTGTCTGGGTGACAAGGGAAACAGAGGTCAGGAGCCGGAATACTCTTGCCTCTGACATTGGAGTCCTTGGGAGGATGGTAATGCTCTCACTTGTTAATGGGGGATCCTGACAAGGGGGAAAAAAAAGCACTAGAAGGCCAAGAATTTAGCTCAGTGGCTTAAGTGCCTGCCTGGCAAGCATGAGGTTATGAGTTTGACCCCTGGTACCAAAAAAAAAAAAAGCACTAGAACTACTAAGTCAGTTCCAGTCTCAGTGCGGTGCCCCTTCCACTTCTAGGGACATCTGCTCTGTTGTCGTGAAATGGATACTCTAAGCACCAAAGCTGGAAGTCTTTAACCGGGAGCACACAACCATTTTGGGGTCCATTTCGAGCATGGAGACTGGGGTTCCAAAGCCGGTAACAAAAAGGCAAGCAAGCAGCTAAAGGGTGTGCCAGCCTCAAGTCCTCCGCTTACTTCATAGGTGACTCGACCGTCCCAAAGGGCCCGCTTCCCCCCTTGCGCCCACCCTGGCCCTGCACGCGCTGGCTCCGCTGGGAGCACAGCCCGCGGGCCTTGGCCGGGTCAGCGAAACTCACAGCTGGGCCTGGGAATCCTCCCACCCCCCCATCTCCCCCCTACCCCCGCGCTGGTCCGTGTGCACCAGGGCGCCACCTCCGGGCGCCCCTGGAGGGACGTGCGCCGCCGCAGGTACTCAGTGTCCTTGCGGCCTTCTCGCTTAGTCTCCCAGTTTCGATGTCCGCCAGATAGCAGGCCCTCTACACCCCCTTGCGTTTGGGGAACTCGATCCTCGGCCTTGTCCCTTCTGCAAGCCTATCTGCAACGCTGCGGTCCTCAGCTTCACCTTTGCCCTGAGTCTGTGTTCAACCCTAGTAACCTCATCAAGTTCCTGAATCGATGCTAGCGGGCTAGTGCAAAAGACTACCCTTGTCATGTAAGGGATGGGGCCTGGCAGGCAGGCTGGGGAAATGCGTAGGACCTGTCGGTCACAAGATCCCAGAGCAACAGGAGAACCCCTGAGTAGAGCTTCTCCCAGAAGATATGGATGACATATATTAAAAGAAAAGCAGCCGGGAATGGTGACACATTCCAGCACTGGAGAGGCTGAGGCAGGAGAATCGTAAATTTGAGATCAGGCTGGGCTACAAAGTGAGCTCCAGGCCAACCTCAAAAACTGCTATCCTGCATGACTTTACATGATAGCCCGCAGATACGATGTATACTTTTATCCTCTTTTTCTCTTGGCCCAAGTTTGCTCTCCCATAACCATTTACCTCACACTTTTCACATAAAGTTTTGTCATTCTTGGCTTATCTCACCCAATTCTTTCTTCCGGGATGCTTTGGATTGGCAAGCCATTTCTAAAGGAAACACCCTACAGTACTTAGATATGAACTTCTCTTCCCTACATTGCCTGTGCTTCTCTGGTCTCGGTCTTTGGATCCTTCCTCCTCTACACAGCACCAGGTCAACATAATGCGGGTCTGTCTCTCCCCTTTTCGACCCTGAGGGATGTACAGATGCTTTATCCAGGTCCTCCTAAGCCTCAAATTCACCTAGGAGTGCCCACAGCCTAGTCGTTGGCTGCAATCCAAGATGGCAGTTCCAAAAAATAGAAGCCCGGCTAAAAGAAAGAAAGCATTAGGTGGGGCTGGGGATTTAGCTCAGTGGCATAAGCGCCTGCCTTCAAGCAGGCAGTCCTGAGTTCGATCCCCTGTACCGATAAAAAGACAAAAAATAAATAAATAAAAAAGAAAGCATTAGGTGATACACAAACTGTGTATTATGTGAAAAGGCAGGAGGCACGGGTGATTTTCTTTTGTTATTCTTTCCTGTGGCATGACATTTAGTTGCTGCTGTTGTATCCTACGGAATGACTTGAATTCTTTGGATCCTTTCAAAGATCCTAAAGGGAGATGCTATTTGTGAGTCCACTTTACTATTGGCCAGCTACAACCCAAGTTCAGGTAACTTGCTCATGGTCCCAGAGAAACCTCCCTTGGCCTGGGGATGTTCTTGTTTGTCTGCTGCTGGAATCTTACACAGAAGCAAGACTACAGCTGAGGCTGAACAAGGTTCTTACCCCATCCTCATCTTCCAATCCAGGGTGAAATCCAAGCTGATGGGTCTTTCTCAAGAACCTTTAAACAGAAATCTGTCTCTAGGAAGTCTAGGCAAACACAGTGATTATGATACAGAGGAAATAAAACGTAACTCCCTACCTGCTTGATGTCAGACATGCTGAGTTCATGTTCTCCAGAATTGAAGAGTGAATTCTACGGAGCAGAGGAGGTTAAGAGCAGGAAATATTTATTAAGAGAGACAGCTCCTGAGAGACAGGAGAGGACCTAAAGTGGGTTGCCAACCAGCCCACTTCTCAAAGGAAGTTTTTAGAGCAAAAATCACAAGCTGGGTACGATGTGGGTCAAAACTATGGTTAACCAATACAATTCCCGTAATATTGACCCAATGCGGGAGGCAGGTCAGGTAGCAAATGTTCATGGAAAGAACACAGACCTTTAGGAAGCGACTGATCAGGGAGTCTTGGTCACCCACTAGGATGACTTTATTGGACCAGGTGGCATCAATTATTTTATCCCCTGGGGAAGCATGTAGGTCTCATCATTCCATCTTTATTTTGAGGCCTGTCCTCCAACAGATGCATCTGGGATCACAGGTGTAATGTGTTCTCATCCTCTACACTGACTCCCTTGAGGGCCTAGCCTCGTCTGACTGCCTATACTATTTCTTCCGAATTTAGCTGTCTATAATAATGTGCCACTGCTTATTAAGCCATAGCCAGGAGCCAGACCACTTTCTCATTTGCTGCATGCCTAGACAAACAATCTCTTTGGAAAAGTAAACTCAGAGAGGTTGAGCGGTTTGCCAAGGCCACACAGCCAGGAGGAAATGGTAAAATGAGTTATAAACCAGAACTACTTGGTACTAAATCTCGTGGCCATAAGGCATCAGGGGTCCCAGTCTGGGGGAGACAGGGAACAATAAGAGGTCAGAGAGCAGACTTACCAGTAGCAGACCTGGCTCAAGATCTAACCCCAGCCTCTGAGGATCTTTAGTTCAGGTGAGTGCTGTTGGATCTTGGGAGTCTTGTTTTAAGAGAGCTGCTCAGCCTCACCTGATTCTAGCACTGGGCAGACAGCCTGGAGTAGGTGACAGGGCCTACAGGAACAGATGAAGGCTACACCATAGGAAGGTCCTCAAGAATCAGATCTGTGCTTTCTGCTTGCTCTCTAGACCTCAGAATGAAAGTTTGGACTCAACCACCTCTGACATTATTTCTGTGCTAATGCTGAATCAGATCTTGAGGGGAAAAGGATGTGGGGAGGTTAGTCATTGGCAGCTCCTGCCTGCCCAGCTTGGGTTCACTCCCCAGTCTCCCGGCCGGCCCTCAGATTCCCAGAGGTAGTCCCACACTTTCTTCTTGCAGGAGGTACAAGGAATCACTTGGAAGCACAAAAAAGACAGCGAGCCAATAAGGAGAAATAGCACTTGGTGAACATGTTCCCAGCTCAGTGCAAGGCCAGATGTGTCCTGATCAAGGCACAGTAACCCCATTCCTCACCCCTGCAGGTTAGGCTAGGCCTTAGGCCTTTTATCCAAAAGAGGCAATGTCCCTTCAATCTGGATAACTCAAATTATGATGTGAACTGAGGATCTATGGGGAAGCTTCATCTATATTAAGATCCTGCGGCCTACTTGACCTTGACCTTGGCTGAACATTGGGATCATGAGCCAGGTGTGGTGGTGCACTCCTGTAATCCCAGAATTTGGGAGGCTGAGGCAGGAGGATTGCTGTGAGTTCAAAACCCGTCTGGGCTACAAAGTGAGTCCAAGGCCACCTGAGTCACATAGTTAGACCCTATCTCAGAAAAACAACAAACAAACAAACAAAACATTGGGATTGTGGAGGGAGGGCATGTGTCTGTTGAGACTCAAAATTATCTTGGGCCTTGAGTAGTTATTTATCTCAACTTTTGTATCTGACCTAACATTCCCATGAATAGTAGATAAATTTCTTGGAATGTATTCCTAGCTGACCTTTAGCCTCCACCAATGCTAAAGCTAAAAATGCAAAACCTATAGGATGGAGTTCCCTGGCATGTTTACCAATGCATTTAGTAAGCACACTGGTTTGTGACTCTCATTTGTCTGTGACTGTAAAAATTCATATAGTGTCTTCCATCATGGGACATGTCAATCACTGTCATTTGAATCTGTGTTCTGGGGCCGTAGTCATCCATATTTGACTTAAAAGAAACTGTGTGTGTGTATTGGTTTTTTGTTTGTTTGTTTTGAGACACGGTTTCACTATGCAGTTCAGGTTGGTCTTGAACTAACTTTGTAGCCCAGACTGGCCTGGAGCTCTTCCAGGGTCAGCTTCCCAGGGATGGGATTACAAGGGTTGCCACTATTGCCCAGCTCTCTTACTTTCTTTAAAGCAGGACTGTTTTTGACATTGGACTGAGAGCTCGGGGCTCAGCCATGCAGACCACAGCCGTTTGGAGCCTCAAAAACTCTGACCTCTGAAATGGGAGTCACTGGAAAGATGACCCCGCTCAGGGCTCTAAAGGTCTGAAACAAAAGACTAAGCGTTAGAACTGGGAAGAAGAAAAGGAGTCTGCGGCCAATACTCAAGATGTGTCCTCTCCTCTTAGAAACATCTGCTCTGCGGTTGGGAAGCGGATTTAAAAAACAGTGCTGCTGCTGGGGGAGCAAGAGTCCTCGGGGAACATCAGGAAGCCTGGAGAAACTGCAGGTACAAAGCCAAGGGAGAAGGAGTACAAGGGGAAAGGGAGAAGGACTCACAGTGACTCAATCACAGTGAGTCCACTAGGGAGGGTGGAGCCGGCGGCGCGCTCCCCGCCTAGTCAGGGTTGGCCGCGGCAAAGGCCCCCGCTGCTGCGCGAGCACCCGGCGGGACGCGGGCTCCAGGAGCGCGGTTCGGTGCGTTCGGCCTCGGGGGTGGCACTTTTGCTCACGCTGGAGTCGCAGGGCCTGCGCGTCTTTCCCAACGCCGTTTCTTGTTCCCGCCCCTTCCTGATATCATCCAAATAGCTCCTCCTACCCCGCCTCTCCTGGCAGTTCCTGGAACTGGACTTAGGGACTTTGTGTCCCAGACACCATTAGAGGCTCTAGGTCATTTACGGAGTCCCTGTGCAGCCCCAGGCTCGAGTTTGCAGCCTGGATCGGTGCCGGTGAGGACCAGAGGAAGGGAGTTTCTCGAGCAGAGGACTGATGTGGATGTGACATACTCCTCCCCGCCTTGCCGGTCCATAGCCACATTTAGGTCCATAGCCACATTTAGGTACATTGTCCAGCCTTCCTCTGCCTGAGATTCTCCTGGAGCTACCCACAGCCTAGTGACCCATCCCACTCCCGGACAGCAGTTTAGAAAATGGGGTGTGCCCTCACGGGAGGGATCTGGGCAAGTTACATTACAGACCTGGTCAACATAAGAGGGCAGCAAAAGTGACTATTTTCCTTTTAATATTCCTACTACATACATAACAAAGTTGGGATTAGTCCTATTGGGTCACTTCCATTCTTTGCACCTTCCTAAAAACACTAAAGAGGAAATACGGGTCATGAGCCCATTTTTCTAAAGAGAAAATGAAGGCGCAAGGAATTTATGTAAATTGTTAGTTTCAGACCTAGGCATTGATGCCTCTGGGAGTGAATCCACTCAGCATCCCAAGGAAAGAAGGAAGTCAAGAATAGAGACCTCTGTCTGTTTTTGTTTGTTCTCCTTTCTCTCTTGCATTCCCTCCCTTTCTTTCATTTCTTCATCTAACTATCTCACTGTGTTATCCAGGCTGGCCTAAGGCTCCGAATTTTCTTGCCTCAATCTCTCAACTATTGGAAATACATGCATGTGTTGGCCACAGGCAAAAAGATTCCAATTTTGAGGCCAGGCTGGGCAACTTAGTGAGATCTTGCCTGGAAACAAAATTTTAAAAAATCTGGGGATGTAGTTCAGTGGTAGAAAGCTCGGCTAGCACCAATGAGATCCTGGGTTCAATCCTCAGTGACAGGAACACACAACACACTTTTTTCCTTTGATCTAGGTATGCACTGAATACCACTTGTAGTGCTTGAAATCTTTGAAACAAAGCAACCCTAAAGCTCAGCCCTAGACAGTGATTCTAAATTTCATCAGAGATTAAAAAACATTCCTTAAAAAATGTGATGCTAAATTTACATGTCAGTTTGGCCAAACTATAGCACCCCATTCCTTGCTTGAACATCAGATTTCATGTTGCTGTGATATCCTTTTTTAGAGGTGATTCACATTTACCTCAGTAGACTTTGAGTAAAGCAGATTCCTGTCCATATTGGTGGGCCTCGTTCAGTTAGTGGAAAGTTTTAACATATTGAGGTCCCAAAATGTGAAAAGAACTCTCCCCCCAAACTACCTTGGGATTAAAACATGCAGTGCCAACCCCTGGCAGGATTTCCAGCTTGTCCACTTGCCTTGCAAGTTTCAAATCTGTTAGTTCTTACAACACCGGAGCCAATTTATTTATTCACTTAGTGTAGGACAGAGTACTGAACCCAGGGCCTCCCCCACTGAGCTAAATTCCCAGCCTTCAAAATTTTTTTTCTTTTTTTAAATTTTAGGCAAGGTCTCACTAAGTCACTAAATTGCTCAGTTGTGCTTGAATTATTGATCCTCCTGCCTCAACATCCCTGGGGCTGGGATCACATACTACCAGCTTGGGCCAGTTTCTTAAAATGCATTACTGTTTCAATTTCTTCAATCTACATACATCTTATTAATTCCATTTCTTAGGGGAACCAGTAGCAACTAGCAACATAAATATGAATACTTTAAAGGAGAAAATATTGAATAAAATTCAGGTGGTAGCAGAAATGACAGGCATCTTTCTCTCTGTGCCCTAAGGATGGGCGCTGCCTTGCTCGGGCAACTACTGATCCCCAGTACTGATCACACTTTTGTGGACCTCAGGTCAAATGCTGAGATGTTAGATGAAGATAATCCTGTGTGCACATGGTGGCTCAGTAGGCCTGGCTTCTGTGTCTGGAGGGAGAATACATATATTTTAGATTTATTTTAACCAGCAAGACTCAATTGTGATACTCCCTTTACAATAAAGGAAATAGCCACAAATTGGTCCTGCTACTCGGGTATAAGTAATACAGGTGGGATTTGCACTCAGGCAGGCCGCCTGTGGTATCTCCCCTTTACCACACAAAAGACAAGGACTGGAAATCTGATCTGCATGACCGTGGGCGGTGCATAGGTCTCTGTCTCTGTGCCTGTTGAGACAGGATTCTCCATAATGTCTGTGTGGATAGACTGATCCTAGTTGCCACTGCTTATTAAGACCTAGCCAGGAGCCAGTCCACTCATTTATCTCTACATTGAGATCTCTTTCCTCTACAAATGAGGAACTGGAGGCTCAGAGAGGTTCAGTGATTTGCCAGGTCACACAGCCAGGAGGTGGTGAAGTGGGCTGTGAGCAAGGTCTGCCTGACATCAAAACCTACCCAGGGCACAGGCTGGCTTCTGAAATCCCTTGTTCTCTCCGGGAATTGGAGGGCAAAGTAATCCTTGCCTCTGGGCCAGACTCATTTTCCTGTTGCACAGAACATCAAATAGCATTCACTCAACAAATAGCCAGAGGCACTAACCGTCAGTTTTAATTATAAATCCCCCAGTGCCTCATTCTTTCCTAATGAACACCACCACACCCTCCAAACTGCAGAATTCAGTTAGACACTAAGTGCTTTCTCTGGATCTAATCTCTTGTTTGCTTTGTCTTACCAGAAAAACCCTGGGCAATTCTCTCCAAATCCTGTCACTTGGCAAGTTGGAAGTAGGTACGGTGGGGGTAAGATAGAAAGGAGGAGCAGAATTCAACCGGAAGTGGGAAGGAATTTCCAAAGACTCACAGCAGAGTCACAGTGGGCAGCTCTTGGGACCCTCCTAGCAGTGTCCCTGCACAGGTCAAGCCTGAGGACTCTTTGCAGGGAGGGCCAGACAGAGTGTTTTAGTCTGCATGAATAGCCTTGTATAACTGTAGTGTTTGTAATTATCTTATTTTCTCTGTTATTTTGGTCCCCATATATTTAAAAAAAATTCCCATTGAAACAGAAATTGATTTTGTACTTTCCTTTGCTTGCATCTTAGTAACCCATATTTTTATTATTTATTGGGGGAGTCCTGGGGACTGAACCCATGTGCTCACATGTGCTAGATGAATGTTTCCCAGTCCTTTAAAGATGTGGCGACAAGCTCTAAGTTGGAAAGATTGGCCGCAAACTTTCAATCTTCCTAAACTGCTGGCTTTTAATCCTCCTGCCTCAGCCACCTGAAAAGCCTGAGGTTGTGTGCCTTTCTTTGTTTTCACCAAAGTTTAGGTGTGTAACTGATAGAAAATCAAATCACATAATTTGCATAAAGAGTTTGAGGAGCTCCATGTACAATTCAAGCAACTGAGTATGTGCAGGGGCGCATGGCTGTAATTCCAGCTTCTCAGGGGCCTGAGCCAGGAGGAGTGCAAGATCCAGCCCAGCCTGTGCCACTTAATGGTACACTGCCTCAAAATTATTATTATTGGTACCGGGGATCAGATTAATAACCTGGTGCCTGTCAGGCATGCACTTATACCGCTAAGCTAAATCTCCAGCCCACTGTCTCAAAATTTAAAAGGGTAGAGGAATATAGCTTAATGCTCCCTGAACCCCTGGGACAAGAATGGAGGAAGGGAGAGACTTTACACAAGTGGAGTTGATTCCACTTTGTAGTCACTTTAAGCAGAAAATCAAATAAGAAACACAAATTGACAGCGAAATCTGAGAATAAAAAAATACAGATCGAGAAGTTTCTGTGCCGGGAACATCCTGTAGGAACCGCCAACCCACCATACGATCTGAGGCACTGTGCTATTCTACAGTCGACGCTCAGTGAAGAACCCTAGTTTCTGTAAGACATTCAGCCCACAGCCCAGAACCCAGGGCCTGACATTTCACCCCCGAACCCAGTACTCCTAGTGCAGTCCCTCACCCTGATTTCCAAGGCACACAAACCAAACCAGAGTCGGAATCAAGTCAATAACTTTATTATCAGTCACATAACTTCATACAAAACGAAACTTAGCAAATAGGTCAGGGTTGTAAAAAAAAAAAAAAAAAAAGGTTGTTTCTGTTGTTCTATGTACACGTGGGAGCAGGGCGCGGCGCAATTAGGCGCAGCAGCTGCACTTATCGGACGCCCCTTTGCAGACGCAGCCCTGAGCGCATTTGGCACAGCCTACCGGGCAGCAGGCGCAGCAGCCTGGAACAGAGAGAGGGTGGCGGAGATGAATACTGGGAAGAAAGAGACAGGGGGTCCCGCCCTCGCTCATAGGTATCTCTGGAGGCGCGAACTTCCCCCAAGAGCACCGGTGACCTCCTGGACTGCTTAACCCCCCCAGAGGGCGGTGTGGCAGGCTAGGCACACGCTGGGGACGGTGACGGGACAGAGGGCGGAGAGGGTCCCACTCACTCTTCTTGCAGGAGGAGCATCTGCACTCTTTGCAAGTGCAGGAGCCGGCGCAGGTGCAGGAGCCGCCTGGGAGGAGAAGAAAGGTAGACGAATGCGGGAGAGGCCGTAAACCTGCTCTTCAGCTTTACAATGGGCCCCGAGGTCAGCCCAGCCCCACACCAGGCCCATTCCCCTCACCGGCAGCGCAGGAACAGTTGGGGTCCATGGCGAGCAAGGCGGCGGCCGGAGTCCGAAGGGCAACTCGAGCGGGTGCTGGAAGACTCGGAGGAGGCGTGGTGGCGCGCAGGGCTCGGCGCGCCGCCTTTATAGTTGGTAGGCTGCGCGGCGAGTGCAAAAACTCCGCCCGGCACTCAGCGGGCGCGGAGTCACGAGTGGCGCCCTAGGGTCGAGCGCACCGCTTGTGCACACGGGTCGCCGAGCGCAGTTTCCCGGAAGCCGCCCTACGTGAGCCTCCGGGCAGCCTTGGCGCACGCAAGGGGCCGGGTGCAGAGTTGGGGGCGGACGGGGACGGTACACTCTGTGCCGCGTGTGAGGGGCTGGGTCTTGCACTGGACACCCTGTCCCCTGCGAGTCCCTCCGCCGTGTGCACATCTCTCCCCACCCGCGTCCTGGATCTGAACCTGAGCTGCTAGACCGCGGGCAGAAGCGGGTCTTGGGAATTCTGCCTACCGGAAAGACTGATTGTGAGTATGGACAGGTTACAGAAAAGTGTACTGGCTCAGGTTTGGGCATTGTATTGCATCATAATAAACGATGGGAAGCCAGGTTTGGTGGCCCACATATATAATCCCAGCCCTCAGGGAAATTGAGGCAGGAGAAGCAAGAGTTGAGAGCTAACTAGGTTAAAACTCTGTCTCAAAAAACAAAACAAAACACAAAACTTTACAGAGAACTGTGGAAGTTACTGATGATATATCCACTGTATATTAATAGTGTGTAACGGATTGTATTGGGAGTATTATGTGCAAGGTTTCATTTAATCTTATAACCACCTGGGGGGTAATAATTGCCCATTTTTATTTACTTACTGGCAGTATTTGGGATTGAATCTAGGACCTTCACACTGAGCTACATCCCCACTCCACCTCCTTTTTAAAAAAAAGTCTGATACAGGATAAGCTAAATTGCTAGGCATACCCTGAATTTGGTGATTCTCTGCTTCCCACAGTGCTGGGATCATAGGTTTGCACCGCCACCATAGACTTTTTCTCATTTTGGAGAAGAACTGAAATCCCAGAGAGCTCAAGTAATTTGCCCAGGAACAGAGCTAGTGAATGCAAAATGTGGCCCTCAAATCCAGCAAATGCTGAAGGCTGTCTAATAGTATGTATCTCAAGGCAAGAGATGAAGCCAGAGGTCACAAGTCATGTCCCCAGGAAACTTCTCAGGGACCCCCAAAGTGAGTAGAGAGGAATAATGCAGGATCCCTGCTAGGATGGAGGTTAAGCTCAGGGGGAGATGGAGCAGAAAGGAGAGATCCAGTTCAACCTGGGAGAAAATGGGCCAGGTGTTGGACTAGAATCAGGTGTTTGCCAGCCAGACAGGGCCATGGCGCTGTACTGACAGCCTTACAACATGTGGAAGTGAAACACCCCCCAGAAACTTTCTTCCCCAGCAGATGCTGCAGAGAAGAGCCAAGGTGGTTTCCTGATTCCTCTCTGGACAGTCACATCCTGCTTCCTTGCCTGCACATAGCCTGCCCTCTGTGCCATGGTCTTAGGTCACCATCCTTGGATTGAGTCATCTGAGTAGTTGGGAAATGTTCTGCGAGGCTGCTTGGAAGGCTGCAGGGAGATGAGGCGGTCTGGCTGTCCTCAAAGCCCTTACTGGAAGCTACTGTGGAAATGTCTATAACTCAGCCCAGACGTCACTTCCTCCTGAGAGCTGCCTGACCCCTTGCCTACAGATGCCAGTACAATGTGCAGGTAAACATGTTGTCCTTTTCCTTCCCAGAAGTTCCCATGCCAGTGATGTGATGGAATGTGTGCGGTCCTTGGTTAGTTTCTGTGGCCCTCTGTCCTGCCAGCACTGAAAAGTCCAAGAGCAGCCACCACCTCCTCCCATCTGTTTGTGTCCCAGCTCCTAGCACAGGGCAGGATTTGCAGTAGGCACTCAATAAATATTTGTCACATGAACTGATGTAGGTCATACCCTGGATCTCCTCTTTTCGAATTAGCACTCTGGTTACAAAATGAAAGTGAAACATTTTCACCACCCTGAAACTGGGTGCTTGCATAGAAAGAGATGAGCTGTCAAAAGGACTAAATTCCAATGGTATTTTAACTGCTACCCAAGCCATTCATTCATTTTCTCCAATGATGGTATACTTCGGTTTTCCTTTAGAGCGTCAGCCCTCACACTCTTGATCCACACAGTTTCAATGCAGTAGGCCCCATCCATGGACTCCCAGACAATTCCATCTTCCTGGCCACTGCAGGTTTTGACCTGGCCACTCAGCTCTGCATGATAAAGAATCAGGAAATAATGGTGTGGTGGGGTGCAGGTCATAGGGAGGATGGATGTAGGCAAAACCTGTCATGCACATTGAAAATTCTTCCAAAAAATGAGAAACTGGGGCCAGGGCAGGGGATAAAAATGATTACAGTACATTGTAGGGAGCCCTTTGAGCTGGAGAGTGGTCACACATGTGGGGTTAAAGCAAGGCCAGCCCTAAAAACACAGCCCAAAATAAGCCATGTAAACAATCTGTTCCAGCTCCAGGAAGGTAAGGGGCCCAGGCCAGCCAAACAAGTTGCTAGGCAGTGGGGTTGAAACTGACTTGGTCCTCCTGGGTGTACACACAAATGTGCTACAGTGGTTGAGCAGTCCCTTTCCTCCCATCAGGCGGGTAAGGGCTCCACCTGACCTCAGCTTTCATCTCTTCTTTGTTTTCTCCACCTCTCATCATTCTTCCCCTCTATCCCCAACATATAGAGCTGCAGCTGGTTGCTACGGTACAGCCAGTGTATGTACAAAGCTTCTAGAATAAAATCCATTCATTTGTAAAACTAATAAAGAATTAAGGCAAATTATAATTCAGGCTAATTGTTTCATTTGAAGCTTTAGTGGTGGAGAGCCTTTGGATAATAGTCTGGATCATGATCAAGGAACTGGTTATAAGGATGTAGTAGGCAGAGGCTGATGATAGGTGAATTTTTACATATTTTTAAGTTAACCTAAACATAATTAAACCTTCTAAACCTTGAAAAAAAAATCAGTGGTGGCTCACACCTGTAATCCCAGCACTCAGGAGGATCCTTGTGAGTTCGAGACCAGCCTAGGCTACAAAGTGAGCTCAAAAAATCAGTGAGCAGGTATGGTGTTACATACATGTAATCACAGTACTCTGGGAGGCTGAGGCAGGAGAATCACAATTTCAAGGCCAGTCTAGGAAATTTAGCAACTGGAGATCTCTCTGTGTTTCTCTCTGAAACCCTATTTCAAAATGAAAAAAAATTAACCGGGCGTGGTAGCGCTCTCCTGTAATCCCAGCACTTGGGAGGCTGAGGCAGGTTGCAAATTTGAGACCATCCTGGGCCACAAAGTGAGCCCAAGGCCAGCCTGAACTGCATAATGAGACCCTGTCTCAAAACGACAAAATAAATAAAATGAAGTAAATTTAAAACAGCTAGGAATATAGCTCAGGATGAATGTCCTATGTTCAATTACCAGTATGAGGGAGGGCAGGGAGAGAATCAGTGAAACTTTACTGGGCATATATGGTTTCCATCCATGTTTGAACCTGAGCAGCTGTGAAGCTTGTTTCCTTTTTTTTTTTTTAAGTGATCAAACCCAATGCTATACCACTGAGCTACATGCCTAGTCCTTTTAAAAATTTTTCTAATGTTGAGATAAGTTCTCACTGAGTTTCCCAGGCTGGCCTGGAACTTCCCATTCTCCTGCCTCAGCCTCCTGAGTACCTGGGGTTACAGGCTTACACCACCACACTTGGTATGAAGCTGAGTTTCTAAAGCCTTTTGTCACCTGCTGAAAATAAAGTCTTCACAAAGGAGATGGAGCTTGACAGAATCATTGGAGCACCTGGACCCAGTCACATCTGAAACCGTCATGAGCCAATGATTGCATTTTTTGCTTCAATCACTGGGACAAATTCCTAACTGGTCAGAGAAGACTATCCTATGAGCTGTGATTTTTGGTGGGCTCCAATTCTTCACAATACAGTTGATCACAATGATTCTAAGTAAGACTCACGTGAGCAACAGCTGAGGTGAGAGGGGAGGGCAGGTCCAATCTGGAGGGGACCAGCAGCCATCAAATATTTGACAGTGGTCATTCTGAACGGTATCTATGATCCTACAATATATCATCAGACTTTAGCAGCTTATGACACTATTTTATAGTTTCTTCTGGAGAACAGGCTGGTCTGGAGGAGCTAAGATGTTACACCAACAAGCAGAAACACTGAAACAACATACAGGATTTAGAGACAGATTTATTTATGTTGACAGACACTGATTGAGGTCATTCTCAAATATCAGGCCCTGATCTCTGGTAGTCTAGGGCTTACATAGGATAAGCAAGCAGGAAGTACAGAGGCAGAATAGCTTGTCAGTGGGGGATTACATGTGTATCATAGTGAACAGCGATACATCACAATAGCTATCTGTTTCTGAGAGACAGGAGCAACCAGAACTAGAACAGGAACTGTTACCTGCAACTAACAAACTGAAGTGTACTGTCTGAGCAGTGTGGGAGCATTTTTTTTTTTTTTTTTGTCTTTTTCCTTTTTATCGGTACCAGGGATCGAACTCATGACTGCCTGCTTTCAAGGCAGGCGCTTATGCCGCTTAGCTAAACCTCCAGCCCCACGTTTTTTGCTACAAAGGTTCAGCTCGCTCTTCAGCATGTTGGTCTCAAGGCAATTAGGCTCTTTCTCTGGTAGCTCAAGGTACCAAAGATAAAAGTCCTAAGGAATCACAGGGAGTAACTGTGAGTCTTTGAAAGCCTGAATCCCGAACCCCATGTGGGTCACTTTTACCACATTCTTTTGGTCAAGCAGTTGCAAAGCCTGCCCAGATTCAAAGGCAGGGGACCATGACTCCACTTTTTGATGGGAAGAGTCAATGAGTTTGCAGCATTTCTAGTCCGCCACACTGGTGGTGGGGAATAGTATTAAATATCTACTGTGAAATAGGATGTATACTGAGAACATCAAGGTCTCTGTGATGGTTTATATCTAGTTGTCTCCCAAAGCCTTGTGCACTCGTAGGTGGTGATTTGGGAGTGTGACTGGATCATCAGTGTGGGTTAGTCCACGGGTTTATAGCTAAATGTGATTTTGGGAAGTGAAGCCTGGTCTGAGGAGGTGGCTCACTAGGAGGATGGCCTAGAAGGGTCTATCTGCCTTCCCTTCCCCCTTGATTTGTCTGTCTCTGCTTCCAGCCACCATGCCATGAGCCATTTCTCCTCCATGGTCCTCTGCCATCTGCTCCATGTGTTGGAGCCAGGGACTGTGGACTGAAACCTCTACAAACTGTGAGCCAAAATAAACCTTTCCTCCTTAGAGTTGCCGGTATTGTGTCTAAGCGACTAGAAAAGTAACTAACACAATTTCTCACTTAAGGTCCAGCACAGGGAGAGAGCACATACTTACCGACTCCCTCCTTAACATCAAAAAACCCCAACAACAACCCCCCCTCCCCAAAGACCCCCAGAAGACAGATGCTCCTGTCATCTCCACTTCATGGATGAGGTCATGAAGAGTCGTACAAGGTCATGCCAAGCTTGCAGGTGGTAGAATTGCAGTTTAACCTATGCCTGCATGTTTATGGAAAGAGGAAATTGGGTTTGTTGTCTGTGGTCCTAGGGGCAGAACCAGGGCAACGGGTGGCAGTTATAGGGATAAGGATTCCGCTCCAGATGAAAAAAGCTTTTCTTGCAATTAGAACTGGCCGTGAGTGCAAGAGACCGCTTTGAGAGAAAGGTCCTGTCCCAACAGCTATGGAACCGGAGGCTGCTGGACGCAGCATCGGTTAGGGTAACTGAAAGACGTTAAGCCTGCTCTTAGGGAGATTCTGATTCCAAGGTTTTTGCTACAGTCTTGTTTCCTCCTCTTTCTACTATCTATTCTTTACTTTGGGTGGGAGTGTATTAATAACTCCCACCCCAAATATTGCTACATAGCCCACTGACCCACAGTTTAGCAGATTAGGACAGGACATATGTGTTATTGCATGTATTACCACACCTGCAGGTTCTGTAAGGCAGGAACTTGGCAAAGTTTAGCTGGGCCTTCTGGCTCTAGATGTCTCACAGACAGCAATCTAGGTGACAGCCAGAGTTGCAGTCATCGCAGGAACAGTGGGGACAGGATCTGCCTTCAGATTCCCTCATGTGATTGTGGGTGGGATTTCCTTCTTGTGGACTGCTGATCCAAGGCTTTGGTTACAGTTTCTTGGGAGCTGACAGCTGGAGGTCTCCAGCTTCGTGGCCGTGTGGAACTTCTCCAGGTATCTCACAGCAGCATGGGGAGCCAGTGAGGGCCAGAGAGTGCCAGCAAGAAGGGTGAGTATCTCACCTGTTCATCCTCGGTGAGATACTGCTGCTGCATGTATTCAAAAGCCTCCAGACATGACGTCTCCCAGGATGGTCCATAAATATGACAGTCCCCTTCAGCAGAGTCCATTCCTTCCCCTGCCCTGCCACACAGGACTGGGATGGAGAGGAAACTTTTCACTTCATACTATCAGAAAATGTACACCATTGCCAGCCTCAGTCAGCACAGATGAAAATTTGATTTTAGAAGACTGTTTCTGTATAGAAGAAATTCTCTTGGTACTCTTATGTTGTTCCTGAAAGTAAAAATCTTCCCCCTTTTCAAGTTACTGGAAGTCAGCTTCACTTTTTGAGGGGAGTGGTATGGAGGAGGATGCCAAGGATCTAACCAGGGCCTCATGGGTGCTGAACATGTGCTCTGCCACTAAGTCTGCTTCATTTTTCCTCCAACTTTAGAAATTACATTGTGGTGTTTTGTCACAAAGCATGCAAGTGACCTCTCATCACTTTTTTTTTTTTTTTTTTTTTTGTATTTTTGTATTTTTACCAGTACCAGGGATCGAACTCACGACCACGCGCTTGCAAGGCAGGTGCTTATGCCGCTGAGCTAAATCCCCAGCCCCAGACCTCTCATCATTTTTGCAGTATTGTGTTTGTTAGCAGCTGGTCGTCATGTCCAGGCCATATTCAAAGGGACAGGATTCCAAAGGCACCCCACCACCCACCCTCGCCACCACCACCATGGCTGGGGATTGCTGGCTGCATCTACAGAGTCTGCCTACGTCAGCAAAGAGGCCATAGCCAGCCATCTGACTTCAGGCTCTTTGCACATGCTGCTCCTTGGGTCTAGAAGTCTCTCCCTTCACTCTCCCCATCTGTTGGGTTTCAGTGTAAAGGTCATTTCTCCAGAAAGGCTTTCCTAGGTCTCAAGGCAGCCTGAGTCCCTCTGTCTCCAGAAAGTCCATCTGTTCTTGGTAGCACTTTGTACAGTTACAGTTACTCATCCTAAAGGAGCTACACATAGCCAGTGTCCTTGAGCCGGGAGCTAAAGATGTCCTTTGTGAACTCATGCCCTGCAACAGCTCTGTAATATGGAGCTTTGACTCCCATTTTATAGAGGGAGAAACTGAGGCTCAGTGAAAGGTAAAGCCCCTCCTTGGTGAGGGGCTGAAGTGGGCTTGTGGTGCTGTTGGCCATGCACTTGGCCTGTTTGCTTCATAGCTTCTGCAGGTGTCTAATCCTTCTCCTCGCCCACCCCCTGAAGGCTGTGGGTTGGGTCTGTGTTGCTCGGTACCATACCTCAGGCCCCTGGCACAATGCCTGACTTATGGTAGGTGCTGGGGAATAGGAGAAAATTGAATTCCACCAGTGACCAGGAAGGAGACCCCATGCAGGGCAGTGCCTGCCTTGTGGAGAATCCATGTTAACAGCTTGCACTTTGGGAGAAGCTAAATCCTGAGGCATCACCCTCATTACCCCAAGCCCTGCCAACCCACACCCCTTACATGTAGTCCATGGATTGCTCCCCACTATGAGCCCCTAAAGCCCATTTCAGATGCTTTCTCCTCCAAGAACTTTTCTCTGAGCTCCCTAACTGATGGGGGTTCTCTCTTACTGGAGCCACCAGAGCTACATTTTTTAACCCCACTTCTCCCCTGAACCTCAGTCTCTCTTTTGTGAAAAATGAAAAGAGCTTGGTCTAGAAATTTCTTTCATCTTCAATATATCCAGAGCCAGGCATGGTGGTACATACCTATAATCCCAGCACTAGGGAGGCTGAGTCAGGAAGATTGCAAGTTCCAGCCTAGCCTGAGCTACACAGTGAGCTTCACAGTTTCTAGAAAGGAAGAAAGAAGGAGGAACGCCTCCAGGATTCCATTCAGGATGTTCTGGGGGATGCCTTCACCCTTCCCTCTAGTCTGTGAGTTTCTTGAAGGTCAGAGGCCATTTCTTTTCATGTACTCTGTGACCAGCTCAGGCAGGGTAATTTAGACATCCATAAATACATTTGTGAAGCATGGCTAGAGCGCTGGATTGAGATGGTAGACTCAGTGGATATTTAAGTCCTTTGAACTTCTCAGAATCCCATGGAAAATCAGAAAAGACCATTCACAAAAAGGCTAAATGATGGCAAACAATAAATAATATCACCAGAAACACAGCAAAGTTGGAGAACTCATACTACCCAATTTCAAACATTATAATAAAGCCATAGTTAGTGATGTGTTGCACATTGATGCAAGATCAATGGATCAGAATTAGAAATCTGAAAGGAAATCAACACCTATTAATGATTTTTGACAAAAGTGCCAAGACAATTTAATAAAGGATAGGTTTTTCAAATCCAGTTTTAAGATAACTGGATATCCACATGTAAAAAATTAGAACATCCCACACCAGACAAAAAATTAAGTAAAAATGGGCCATAGAACTAAAATTATAGAACATTAATAGGAAACAGGAGAGCTGGGCGTGGGGGTGCACATCTAGAATCTTAGCATTTGGGAGGCTGAGGCAGGAGGATCACTGCAAGTTCGAGACCAGCCTGGGCTACAAAGTGAGCTCAAGGCTAGTCTGAACTGCATATTGAGACCCTGTTTCAAAAGAAAAAAAAAAGAAGAAGAAGAAGAAAAGAAAAGAAACAGGAGAAAATTTTCATAACCTTATATTAAGCAAGGGGATTTTAGATACGATACCACAATCTATCAAAGAAAGAAACTGATAACTTAGACTTCCTCAAATTTAAAAAGTTGTGCTTTTAAAGAAAGCACAAATGAGAAAGTAAGACAAGTTACAGAGCGGGAGGAAATTGAAAAACTCGTATATGATAAAGAACTGATTGATATCCAAGATATATAAAGAATTCCTATAATTCAATAATAAGACAAACTACTAAATTTAAAGATGAGAGAGTAGCCAGGCATGGCAGCACCCGCCTGTAATCCCAGCATGTGGGAGGCTGAGGTAGGAGGATCCTTGCAAATTCCACACCAGCCTGAGCTCAAGGCCAGCTTTAAGGGCATAGCAAGACCTTGTATCAAAAAGACAAATAAATAAATAGGCAGAGATCCATATCCAAAAGAATTAAAAGCAGGGACTCAATCAGACATTTATATGACAATGTTCAGAGCAGCATTACTTATGATTGCCGAAAGTAGAAACAATTCAAGTGTTCACTGATAAATGGGTAAACAAAATTATGTATGTATATATGATGGAACGTTTACTCAACCTTAGGAAGAAATGAATTGTAACACATACTACAACGTGGGTGAAACTTAAAAACATCATGCTAAATGAAATAAGCCAAACACACAAAGATAGATATGGTGGGGCTAGGGGTTTAGGTCAGTGGTATAAGTGCCTGCCTTGCAAGTGCATGGTCATGAATTCATTCGATCCCTGGTACTGATAAAAAAAAAAAAAGACAGATATGGTATGAATCTACTTATGTGAAGTATCGTAAATTCATGGATACAGAAGGTAGAATGGTGGCACCAGGGGCTGGAAAGAGTGTTTAATGAATACAGAGTTTCAATTTGGAAAGACGGAAGAGTTCTAGAGAGGGTCGATAGCCTTGTTTCACGATGATGTAAAAGTACTTCATGCCACTGCATTGTTCACTTATAAATGATAAATTCTATTCTATGTATATTTACTGCAATAAACAGAAAAAAGTAGGCAAAATATTCAAATTGATATGTCATCAAAGAAAGCCAGTCAGGTTACAATGGATAAGCACATGCAAAGATGTTCCATGCCACTGACCACTGTGAGAATGCAAACTAAAGCCACAGTAGGCACCACACCATGCGTTCTAGAATGGGTATGACAGAAAAAGTGAGAGCCAGACATGGTGGTTCATGCTTGTAATCAAAGCTACTTGGGAGGCTGAGACTGCACTGCAAGTTCAAGATCAGTCAGAACAACTTAATGAGACCTTATCTCAAAATAAGAAAGATAGAAAGGGCCAGGGATGTAGCTCAGTGGTGGAGCACTTGCCTGGCATTTGTAAAATCCTTGGTTTGATCCCCAGCCATTAAAAAAAGAGAGAGAGAAAAAATTGTCGGTGAGAATATGGAGAAATTGGACCCTTTATGTATTTCTGGTAGAATTATAAAGTGATAGCACCACTTTGGAAAGAAGTATTTTTTTTCAAAAGTTGAACATAGAGCAATTCTGCTCCTAAATATCTACCCAAGAAAAATAAAAATATGTCCATACAGAGACTCATGCACATTCATTCATAGCTATTTATGAGCACATCCATGCAGCTCAAGTACCCATCAACTGGTGAATGGGTAAACAAAATGTATTATATTGATATACTATTCAGCAATGGAAAAAAAGCAATATACAGGATCAGATTACAGTTCCATAGCAGAGTGCATGAAGCCCTGGTTTGATCCCATCATGGTAAAACAGAACATCAGATTACTAACAACTGGGGCTGGAGATTTAGCTCAGCGGCATAAACACCTGCCTTGCAAGCAGACGGTCGTGAGTTCGATCCCTGGTACCGATAAAAAGGAAAAAGGAAAAAAAAATTACAAACAACTGCATCAACATAGAATGAATCTCAAAAATATTATGCTAAGTGAAAGAAGCTGGACATAAAAAGGCTACTTATTGTATTCTGCTATTTATATGAAATATCCAGAAAAGGTATACTCAAAGAAACAAAAAACAGATCTAGGGATACTTGCAAATTAGCTGCAGACAGGTGCAAGGGAACTTTTGGATAACAGAAATGTTCTAAAACTGATGATGGTTGCTCAATTCTAAAAATTTGCTAGTACTTAGGGAGCAGTTACAATGAGTGAATTTTATGCCATAAACTGTATCTTGATAAAAATAAAATAAAGGCATTCTTGATGAATGCCTTTAGTGGATCAGAAACTTTGAGAACTTCCTGAAAAATCCAAAGTAGATGAGAGGCAAAGTAACAGGGGTCATCATATATAAAGACCTTTCAGTAAAGGAAACAATGAAGTTATATTTTAAAAAGAAATGGTGAATAACTGAGTAGAAAAAAAGATAAAGAACAGGAGCCAGTTATCACAGGAAATGACCACAAAATTGACAGTAAACTAACGAAAATGTGTTCAAACTCACCACTTTAAGGACAGATGCAATTTAAAACTAGAATGTCATCATTTTATCTACCAGGTTTGCCAAAATGCCAGGTTAACAGAATGCAAGGAAATGAAGCATTAAAAATACTCTGATATTAATGGTGATGTACAAATTGGAATAGCCTCAGGAGAGAACTATTTGACAGCTCCTACTAAATATGAAAAGGGGCCCGGTGTGGTGGCTCACAGCTGTAATCCCAGCACTCTGGAGGCTGAGGCAGGAGCATCATTGAGAGTTTGAGACCAACCTGGGCTACAAAGTGAGCCCAAGGCCAGCCTGAACTGCATAGTGAGACCTTGTCTCAGAAAATAGAACCACAATAACAAAAAAAAACTAACAGCCACCTAAATGTTCATCCATCACTCTGTAAAAGGATTCAAAAGTGAAGTACAATAACCATTATATAGAGAACGTATATTCTCTATAATAGTTATTAGGTTTTTATCTTTCCTAAGATCCTATGCAGATTGCTGCTGCTCCCATGGTCTTACCCCATTCTTTTCATTGCATATTCATTATGATCATGCTTAAATTAATTTCATACTGGAGGATATTTAGCTAGACTTCTGCACATACAAATGATACACTGAATCTCTTAGGTTGAAGGTGCATACATTTTAAATTTGAATAACTACTGCTAAAATATCCTCCTAAGTGGCTCTAACCAATTTACACTACAGAAGGGAATGGAAACATGTAACCATTTATCCACCCTTCTCTGTTAATCAGGTTACTAATCCTTGTAAATATCAAGGCCTCATCCTTAGGCTTCATTAAACCTTAATTAGCTCACTGTAGGTCCCATATCCAAATGCAGTCAGTCACATTGAGGGTTAGGACTTCAACTTGAATTTAGAGGAAGGATAATTCAGTCCAGAACACACAATATAGCAACTAGTTTCTATTGTATTTAGCTTTTATTATTTTATTTTTTTAGACAGAGCTTTGCGAGGCAACCCAGGCTGGTCTTCACTCTAAATCTTCCTGCTTCACTGGGATTACAGGTTTGTACCACCACGCCTAGGATGCTTTTTAAAACTAGCATTTTAAACGGTTTTAAAACAAGTACATATAAACTGTACCATCTTAAGTACCTTTAAGTGTACAGTTCAGTAATGTTTAGTACATTGAGACCGAAAGAGTTTTCTGGCACAATAGAAAATCAAAAGTACAAAAAGAATAGGTTTATTGTGGTGAGGACGTGGGAAGGAGCACACAACCCACGGCAGCTGGGCCGTCTCCTTCAACCGGAATATTGGGGGTATGGGACATATGTAACCTTTGAGCAGGGGTGATGCTTAGGGCGGGCACTGATGACATACTAGGAGCTGACTGGAATTTCCTTCCGCGCAAACAGAAAGAGGAGTTGCAATTAAGGCTGAGGAAGAAGCAGGAATTGGTAGGCCTTCCGCTTTGGCCTTCCACCATATTAGACCTCTGCCATAACAGTACAGTAATTTATTCTAGGGCAAAACCTTTCAGAGACAGCGTTGCACCCCATCTGCAGTGCACTTCTCATCTTGCAAAATTGAAACTCCCAGCCCATTAAGCAATTCCTATCTCTCCCTCTCGCAGCCCTCGGAAATCTCCATTGTACTTTCTGCCTTTATGTGGACCCAATTTGATTGTTGTAGTACCTCATGTAAATAGAATCACACAGTATTTGGACTTTTGTAACCAGTTAATTTCATTACTGTAATAACTTCCAGGTTCACCCGCGTTGTGGCACGTGGCAAAAACGCATTCCTTTTTTGGGTTGAATAATAGCCTGTTGTGTTTGTATCATGCCATTTCTTTGTCCCCTCATTCATCAGTGGACACGTAGGTTGCATCCATCTTTTGGCTGTGATGAATAAAGCTGCCATGAACAAGAGAATTCTCATATCTCACCAGGAACTATTTTTACATTTTTTTGCTGGATCATATGGTATTCTATTTTTGACTTTTGAGGAACTGCAAGACTTTCTCACAGTGCTTGCTCTGGAAATTTTGTGTTTCCACCAACAATACACAATAGTTCCAATTTCTCTACATTTTCTGTTTGTTTTTAATATGCTAGCCATCCTAGTGGGTATGAGGTGAGTTAGTTTTGTTTTGCTTATTCTGTGGTAATAGAGATTGAACCTGGGGCCTCAGGCATGCTAAATAAGTGCTGTACCACTGATCTCAAGTTTATCTTTTGTATATGTGGGGGTGGGTACTAGAGATTGAACCCAGAGCCTTTGCACTGAGCTACATCCCCAACCCTTTTGAAATTGCATATTCTGAGACAAAGTCTAGGCTGTTAAATGTCCCAGGCTGGGTTTGAACTTTTGATCCTCCTGCCTCAACCTAACGGGCCTAACCTGGTACAGGGGTTACAAGCAGGTGTGTGTGCTATTATTCCCAGCTCCAGTGGGCTTTTTCTGTCTCAAAACCTTAAGCATTCTCCTATTTCCTCATTTCCAAAAATTTTTTATAGCTTTGAATTTTGCTGTTTAAGGTATTTAAGTCAATTGAAATTTATTTTTATACGCTCTGCAACTGTGCCAACATTGGTCACTAACTAGACTTGATCATCTCTTACTGACACCTGTGGGTGGTGGTGTGTGTGCTGCTCGGGTTGTTTCTGGTCCATTCTGGAGCCAGCACTGCTTCCTAGTGCTTTGGAACAAGTGGGGTTGGCCAGTGAGAGCAAGTCTCTTGTGTTGCTTCTTTTCAAAGCCAGCCTGGCTCTTCTTGAACTCTCTTTTTCAGTAACTCAGTGTTAGATTAAAAAACATCCTGATCCTGGTAAGCTTTGGAATGGAATGTACAGAAAAACTAACTTGGAGGAAAACCGAAGTGTTTATAACCTTATATCCTCTTACAGAGAAACCTGTGTGTCTTCCCCTTCTTAGCCATCTACATAGGCCTGAGCGTTCTTTCACCAAAGCTTGGACCACAGCCACTGCAGACAAAAGCTCATATTTCTGTTCTTAGCCTTAAAGACAATGGGGCTGGGAGCAAATTGCCAGATGAGAAGATTTGAAAAGGAGCTGAACAATCCGCTCTGCGGAGACAGGCTACTCAGGCAGGAGGCCTTGAAAACACAGCCCTAGCTTGCCAAGGGGAACCCTGGGGGATGAGAACAGGCAGTTTCAGAAGCCCCTGAGTGGAGGTGAGTTTTAAAATCCCCCTGCCCCAGTGCACAAGTGAAGAAAGTGAGGCTCTGCAGTTGCAGAGAGAAACCTCAGTGGGTCTGGTTTCTTTTTCTCCAGAGCTGAGCTCGACTTTACAGGAGGATTTACAGTGAAGTACAAGGTGCTGTGCTCCCAGGGCACCCTCCCAGTTGCCAAAAGACCTGCTCCAGTCTCAAGATTTCACTTTGAACTAGGTGGGTCCCTGGAGTAGGTGCCCCATCTCCACACCCTTCCTTCCCCTTTAAGAAGAGACTGACTCCTTGTTTCATAGTGTTCATGGAATTTATTGTCACTTATGGGGGGGGGGGGGTAAAGCCACACCCCGCTACAGGCAGAGGTGGCCCTGGGCCACTGAGCACTATTCACATGCTCTCCGTGGAGGGCCACGTCTTCAGTGGCTGCAGCTGCACTTCTCCTCCTCCGCCTTGACCCCCTCCCCACCTTTGCACACACAGTCCTTGGCACACTTCTCACATTCCGCAGGGCAGCAGGAGCCTGCAGATAAGATGGGGGTGTTCAGATCAATGCTCCCCATCACAGGGGAGGGCAGAGAGGGTGCTGGGGGCCGGGAAGTCATTCTGGTTCAGCCAGGATGCCATCCCCTCTCTGCTCTCACATCTGATGTGACTCAGCATCTATGGTGCTGAAGCTGCACGCTGGGCTCCCGCCTGAAGGTCACCCTTTACCCAGCCCACAGCCACTCTCCTGGGTGACAAAGAACTCCCAGGGATGGTGTGGTGAGCCCAGGCCGAGCTATTGTTAGGCCTTAAGGAGGAAGCCTGCCAGCATAAAAGGCCTTGAGAGGGGCTTGCAGGAAAAACCCAGAGGTGTGGCAGGGTCAGGAAATCCATGGGGCTCTGTGCTTTGTCTCACATCCAAAAGACTAAGGGAGACCCTCTCCCACCTCCTAACCCTCCATGCACATCACACTGCTGAGAGGGACCACGGAGCAGAACCCAGAGCCGCCCCCAGCCTCACTTGGGTGGTCTCCCCAGACACTGGAGGTTTTGAAGAGAGGGGATCAGGGAAGAGTTGTTTCAGGGCAGCGATTCTAATCCTCAGCTGCCCTTTGGAGTCTTCTGGGAATTTACAAAATATACCCCACCCTGGGCTCTCTGTTCTCCCGGGGGCTGCAAAGCCGGAAGGGGGAGCTTCCGGTCTCTCTGGGCGGGGAGGGCGGGTGGTGCACTCACTCTTCTTGCAGTCGGTGCATTTGCAGTCCTCGCACTTGCAGGAGTTAGCGCAGGTGCAGGATCCACCTAGAGGGGGAGACGCCGCCAGAAGGGTTAATTAAATCCGTGAACTCGGCGGCCCCACGCTTCAGAGGAGGAGATGCCAATCTGCTCTCACTGCTCCTCGCTACCTGGACGCCCCCATCCTTTACAAGGTTAAGGATGGGAAATAGGGGGCCCCTTCTCCTCCTCCTGTCCTTGAGCAAAGCCGTAGGGCGTGGGACTCTGCCAGTTAAGGGGTGTGGGGTGCCGCAGGGAGCTCACCAGTAGGACAGGGGCAGGTCTCGGGGTCCATGTCGAAGCAGGCAGCCAGCCAGTAGAGAGGGGAATTGGCTTCTCCAGGCAACTGAACGCACTGCTTAGCGGTGGCAGCAGGTGGCGCGGTTTTTATAGCCCCAGGCGGGGGCGCGCGTGCAAAGCCCGGGCGTCAGCCTCTGCTCGGCGGTGCTCGCTCTCCGCCTGTGCGCACTGCGACAGCTGTCTGCTGCCCTCGCCGCCATGGGTACCGCGCAGGGAGAAGTGCGCACGCACCGGATCAGAAAGCGCAGGAGAGAGGCGCTTGGGGTACCCCTACCTCGTCTCTGCCTCTCATCCCCCCAGTCTAGAATTCTTGGCGCCAGTTTCATTCAAACTGGGTGCTGGGTTGGGGGTACTAAGCGCTCTCGTGTGCACTGATAAAGGGCCATCTTCCCATGTGTCCCTGTCCAGCACCTTGAAATCTTTGACTCCTATCCCTCCGCTATACGAATCAGGAAAAAGGGGCCCGGAGAAGGGGACTCAGAAAGAAGCCTAGAACGATGGTCTCTGGACAGAAGGCCTCTGGGAACATTTTCCCATCACTACCCCCAACCCCCTCCTGACCCATCTTACATCCAGGAAAGTGGCTTATCAGAGTCAAGCGAGAAGCTGGCATGGTGGCACAACCTGTAATCTGAATTACTTAGGAGGCTGAGACAGGAGGATCTCAAGTTCGAGTTCAGCCTGGGCAATTTAGTGGGACCTTTTCTCAAAATAAAATATAAAAAGGGTAGAAGATGTAATTCATTAACAGGGTGCAGTTGAGTCCAATCTCCAGTACTGAAAATAAAAATAACAACAACAATACAAGCAGGTGGTGGTGTGGTTTGCTGGACATATAACCCAGCATTCCCTGGGTTCAGTTGCCCGTATGGGGAGTTGGCTGGGAATGGGGAGGAGGCGGTAAAAAGAGTCTAAACTGCTTGAGATTATTTCTGTTGCCGAGTCCAGATGCAGATCCAGCTCTGGGAAAATCTCCCCCACCTCCCCAGCTGGTTGCTGGAATTCTGGCATCATATGCCAAGGTGATGCTGGGATAGCAACTTGAACTCTGCTGTCACCATCTCTCCGCCTTCCCAGGCTGGTCCCAAGAAGGCTCCTTTGTGGCTGAGCAGGTCAAAAGTGTGAGACCTACTGAAGTGGAGATGCTGTCTTCAAAACACAGGGCCATCCAGCAGCCCCTGGGGCATGAAATGTGGGAGAGAAAAGAGAAGGGGACAGCTAGGAGAGGAACTCAGTGTCCTCCACTTGGCGTGTGACTTGGACCAGCTGAGTCACACACACCAGTCCTCACTTAAGGAGGTTGTGGAAATTTTTACTTTTACAATTAGCTTGGGGCCAACAGAGGAGATCAGGTAGAGTGAGAGGTGGAGATGATGCAGGGTTACACCAACTAAAGGATAGAAAATCCACAGGTGATCTCAGAAGAAAGCAAGGAGTCTAGCAAGTTCCACACCCATGTTAAAATTGATCCAGAGTACGATTAAGACTGTTGCTTTGTTCTCAATTGCCCAATTTACTATCGTGGGACTGAACAATTGGCCAGGATTTGGGGAAGTTGCTGGATGTGTACAAAAGCGAGTTTGTAACTGTCTACAAATAAGGTCTTAGAGTGGTCTGGATTTATTAGTAGATGAATGTCAAATAAGGAGCTTCATCCACAGGGCAGCTAAAGCTAGAATGGGTCACTGGTCTAGGAGCCCCCTGGTTTCGAGCTCCAGTTTGCCAAGTAGGTAGGAAGGCTCTCTGCAGTTTGTGCCTGGGTTTTCATATGAGTAGCCCAGATAATTACCTGTGGCTTCTATGGATGTTTTCCATTTGCTGGGATTTACAGCACCAAGTACCATGTTGAGCACTGTGCAAGGCTACTAAGCACTTCATATTACCTCACTGAATCTTTCCAGTTACCCTTATGTTAGACACTATTTTTGTAAGCAGGAAAACTGAGACTCAGAGAGATTAAGTAGCTTGTCCTGGTGGCAGAGCCAGGACTTAGATAAATCTAAGTGCAATATTCTTCAGCCTGCTTTGCTATCATCCATTCTCTATGATTTCCAGTTCACAGAGAATGGATGCTGCTGCTCACCAGGCTCCTGGAGTTGATTGTGCTTTGATACTGACACAAACTTCAGAGAACTGCAGAATCTTTGGAGCTGCAATAAGAAAAGTTGTCTTTCCTCCTCTCTCTGAAAAGTGCTCCATTCAGGCCCTCCATGGCCAGCAACACCTGGGAGGTGTCAGCTTTGGCCTATGACACTGCATGTTTACTGGTTTGGAGGCTGTCAAATCTCTGCCCTCGCACCTCCCTGTGAGGACTGACTCTACACTCAAAGTGGATCCTAACCAGGTCCAATTTCTTATCATTATGTTGAGGAGCCCAGCTCTTAACTTCAGGGACCAACCTACAGAGCCTGCAGCAATCATTGTGAGCTTTGGAAACTAGGTTCATTGCTTTTCCAACTGTCACCAGATTATTGATACACCAGGGGTCTTAACCTTGAGCAGCAAAGTGACTCTCTCTTCTCTACCTGTCCTTGTCTCATTCATCCAATGATCTGAGCAGCAATCCTGAGATTCCTTCTAGAAACTCATGGTTCTACCCTTCCCCTGTTCATAAGGAAGCTAGAGACAGCACAGGTCTCGGTCAAAGTCACACAGCATGGTTGCAATGAGGCTAGGTGTTTTGGTTTGTTTTTTTTCAGCTAGAATTTGAACCACATCTCTTGACTTTGATTCCACTGGTCAAACTTCCCAAAGAGATGATTTTGTAAATTAAATTCAAATCTCATAATAGCAAGGTTACTCCTCCCTTGTTTTTTCTATCAGTCTTTCTGATGACTCTAAGGAGACTCAGCATGGCGCCAGGCTGCTCCAGATCTCCTCAACAGAAAAAGGGCAGAAAAGTCAGGGAAGGGGCAGGAAAGGCTTCCAAAGGCCATAGTGCCCAGCTAGAAATTGCATGGCTTTGCTCTGTTGTCTCTATATTCATCTCCATGGTTACGTCATGTTTATGGCAAATGATTCAGTGCCTCTTCAATAACAGTGACACAGATTTCCTTTTAAAATAAATTTCAGAATAATACTGGATCAACTGATATGTAATTATAACTAAAATTAGATGGTGGTCGAAGGACCGCAGCCAGAGAAACATTGCCCTCCACAAGGCTGGTGTCTGGCGTGCTGAAACCTAGCTTGGCTGCTGGTTCTGTTGCCTGTCCCCTCCTGTGTCCTCCTAGCCAAGCACCTTTGTGCCATAGGTCACAAAGAGATTCTGCTCCTGTATGGCCATTGGCGGGGTGGGGTTGTTGACTGCGTCCATCTTTCTTAAGGTGGCCAGATTGGCCTCAGCCAGCAACTGCAACTATGCCAGTGTCTTGGTTCCCAGTGTTTGCTCCTGACTCTAAGGACCGGAACACACGATGCTCCCTAAGGGACCAAACCTCCTAATTTAACAGCGATAGAGATTGCCTTTGTGACTTGGGCCAAGGCCTGTACCATTTTGGGTTTCCTTCTCTGTTAAAAGAAGGCAGATGGTAGCATGGCATAATTTTCAGGAGTCTCAGAATCACTGCTCACCCAATGTGGTGAGTAGGGCAAGGCCAAGACAGCAAGGAGAGGGGCATTTTGCCCACTTCAGGTAAGAGCCTGGCTGTGTCAACAATCTTGCATAGCTGGGCAACTAACATCACAGAATACTAGATTCCCATCTGCCCTTCTAATCAGTGAGGAGCTTGAGGAAGTATGATTGAGTCATGATGAACTGACTGGGGTCCTTGTGGTTGGGTTTCCAGGAGCACTGCTTGATAGAAAATCGGTTCTCGTGTATGGTTGGGGCAAAGCTCTGTGGCTGGAGGGAAGGAGTTAGAGTGGAATGGTCCAGAAAAAGCCTGCAGGGGCCCTAAACTATAGGGACCTTTCCGATGTGCAGAAGCACAAGTGTAATGGGGTTCCCTATACTTCTCCAGACCTCCCTGCCATTGCTACCGGAAACTCACAGCTGCAGTGAGTGATACACCTAAGAGCAATGACTTTGGTGTCAGCCCAGAGTTTGAGTCCCCTGTTTACCTCATTCACGGGGAATAACAACACTTTTACATCTCGGTTATGGTGAACATTCAGTGAGATTCTTCCTATAGACTGCTTAATCTGCAACATGTTTTCAATAAACAGTTCTCCTAGAATCACTTTCCTATGTACACATTTGGAGCTCTGAGATTGGCAAATAGCAGATCTATTCTCCACATTAGGCAGCCCTCAGCGCCCCCTGCAGCCAGCCTGAGGCACTGCATCCCGTGGGCCTGAGGCAAAAGCAAGAAGTGCAGACTTTGCAGTCCCTCACCCCCTTCTCCTCCTATCCTGGATTGTTCTGCACTCTGTAGACATCAGACTTACAAGCCCGATCCCCATGACACATCCCTCTTCTCTGAGAGAGCAGGGGCACTGTTCAGTCTCGGAAAGGACAGACACAGGGAAGAGGTCAGACTCATACCCTGGAACAAGACTCTGCAGTCCAGAACTTTATCTAGGTGGTGTCTAAGGGCTTGAGGGGAGGAACGGGTATGAATTCTCCCTGGGCCCTTGGTCTCTTAGCCTGTGAAGAGGAAAACCTCAGCAATTCTCAGAGAGGACCCAGCGTCGGGCCCTGGTTGTCTGGCTCTCAAATGACCCTGGTTGTGCAGGATCCACAAGATGATGTTTTAAAATAGCTTAGTGACCTTGGCTCATGGGTGGAGATTGAAAAACCTGTCCAGGGAGGCACCCGGCATAATGACAGTGCAGATTAGGAAAGCACTCAGTACCAGAAGCACAGAGCTAATCCTGCCGCTCCTTCTGCCAACTGAACCCAACCCCACAAGACAACCCAGAGTTGCTCTGTGACCTTGGAGAAGACTCCGTTCTCACCCACTCCTGTACCTGAGGGCTGTTTGACAGAAGCAGGCACAAATACACAGCATCTTAGAGCCTACAGTGCCCATGGTGTGGGGGAGAGCCAGTGATGTCCCCTACCCAGTGCCAACCTCCAGGGACCTATGCCCCTCCAGGGACTATCCATGTGGCAAGTCATTTCTTTTTCTTTTTCAATTTTTTTTTTTTTTTTTTTTGTACTGGGCTCGAAGTCACAACCTTGCACTTACCAGGCAGGCATTTATGCTGCTGAACTAAATCCCCGGCTTCATTTTTTTTTTTTTTTTTTTGCTGGGGATC